TTAAATACATGGATGGCGATATACTAAAAAAATTGTTCATGACTTTTGTTAGGCCAAAGCTAGAATATGCAGCTGTTGTGTGGTGCCCATATCTTAAGAAGCACATCAACAAACTGGAAAAGGTGCAAAGAAATGCTACTAAGTGGCTCCCAGAACTGAAGGGTAAGAGCTACGAGGAGAGGTTAGAAGCATTAAACATGCCAAAACTAGAAGACAGAAGAAAAAGAGGTGATATGATCACTACATACAAAATAGTAACAGGAATTGATAAAATCGACAGGGAAGATTTCCTGAGACCTGGCACTTCAAGAACAAGAGGTCATAGATTTAAACTAGCTAAACACAGTTGCCGAAGAAATATAAGAAAATTCACCTTCGCAAATAGAGTGGTAGACGGTTCGAACAAGTTAAGTGAGAAGGTGGTGGAGGCCAAGACCGTCAGTAGTTTCAAAGCGTTATATGACAAAGAGTGCTGGGAAGACGGGACACCACGAGCGTAGCTCTCATCCTGTAACTACACTTAGGTAATTACACTTAGGTAATTACATGAGACCAGGAGGCATGGCAGGATGTGCAGAATACCCCCCATTGAAAAGCAGAGGTGCAACAGGTACTCTGAGAGAGAACTCTATCAACAGCAGAAGCCGGAAGACTGTTCAACACGCTTCCACTACACATAAGGGACATAACTGGTTGACCCCTCACAGTGTTCATGAGAACTGGATAAGCACCTCCAAAGGATACCTGATCAACCAGGCTGTGATTCATATGTCAGGCTGCGAGCAGCCGCATTAAATGGCCTGGTTGACCAGTCCAGCAATGAGGAGGTCTGGTCGACGACCGGGCCACAGGGACACTAAGCCCCAGAAACACTTCAAGGTTACTTCAAGGTAGGTAATACTTTGGCCCATTGATCCAACTAGTAGCAAACCAAAAGGGATTAAAGAGGGTTTATAAGGGGATATTTAATATAGATACTGTATGAGCTTGCTTATCTGGATTCTACTCAACCAGATGTATGGGTTATCCAGCAAAAATTACATCTGGATAATTTTCAGGCAAAATTTATCAATATCTGGATAACCAGAGGTTTGGCTGGATAACGCAGACTGGCACAGAGTCTAAGTCAAGTCTGGATAATTTTCTTCCAAAACTTTGCCATATCCAGACAGAAATCCGGATAACTGGAATTATCCGGATAACTGGAATTATCCGGATAACTGGTTACGTAAATTTTCAAAAACTACACATTTCAAAATCTACTGTACCTGCTTGATACCGGCTTGATGGGATTCTATTAGTTCTACTCCCCCAAGCCTGACCCAAGGCTTGGCTTGACTTATGAGAGCTTAGTCTACCAGGCTGTTGCTTGGAGTGGCCCGCAGCTCGAAGCTCACCACAGCTCAGTTGGTCCGGCACTCCTTGAATAAAATTACTGTATCTAGTTTGCTCTTGAAGATATCCACGGTTGTTCCGGCAACATTTCTTATAGTCGCTGGGAGGATGTTGAACAACCGTGGACCTCTGATGTTTATACAGTGTTCTCTGATTGTGCCTATGGCACCCCTGCTCTTCACTTGTTTTATTCTGCATTTTCTTCAAACAAGAACACAATACAAAAAGGAAAGTTTAACTTTCTCTTTTAAATTATATTTTTGGATTTATAGTGTGTCTGGAAATTCAAATTATAGCATGTGGGTTGTGTACAAAAAATTGCAAATGACCTGTATGTTCATTTTTGGACTTTCCCTGTAAGAATTCTGTTTATCCAGATAAACAGCCGGCTTATCCAGTCAGGGGTCCTTCCCATACAGTCTGGATAAGTGAGCTTAGACAGTAAAAATAATTCCTCCGAGTTTCAGTAACAGTCCTTACCTTGAGGTTACCTTGAGGTGCTTCCGGGGCTTAGTGTCCCCGCGGCCCGGTCGTCGACCAGGCCTCCTGGTTGCTGGACTGATCAACCAGGCTGTTAGACGCGGCTGCTCGCAGCCTGACGTATGAGTCACAGCCTGGTTGATCAGGTATCCAGGTATCCAGTCAGGTTAAGTCGAAAATTCCAGTTCTGGAAAGTTTCCTTTTTACGACTATTCATAGCCCAGTCAATAGAGCCTTGGCCTCACATGTATGGGGTCCACGGTTCAAGACCCATACATTCCAGGTGAATGAAATGGAAGAGCTTAGACAGTATACAGTATAGTATTGTAGTATAAGCGTGCACTTAATTCAAAGTGTATAAAACCACTTTGCTTCTTATTTGTAGTCCCCATGCTATTTTATTTATTTATTTATTTATATACAAGAAGGTACATTGGGTTTGAGAATACATAGCATAGTATTTACAATCTTGTAAAGCCACTAGTACGAGCAGTGTTTTGGGCAGGTCCTTAATCTAACAGATAATTTTAAGTAGGTAAATTCTAGCAGAATTAATGGTTAAGACACTCCAAAATGCCTGGCATTTTGTGAGCACTTTTGTCCTGGGTTCGTATCCTGGCTGGGGAGGATTTACTGGGCGTCAATCCTTAACTGGAGCCTCTGTTTACCCAACAGTAAAATGGGTACCTGGTTGTTAAATTATTTGGCAGGGTTGTATTCTGGGGAACATAGGATTAAGGACTTGCCCAAAATGCTATGCGTGCTAGTGGCTGCACAAAAATGTAAAAACTCTTGTATATATCTACCAAAAATAAAAAAAATCTGTGAGAATAATGTAACAATGCAGAGGAGCAAAGTAACCCTGGGCAGGACAGAAATGGTTGGCCACATTTCCTATCACCTATCTTGAGATGATTTCGGGCCTTAGTGTCCCCGCAGCCCAGTCCTCAACCAGGCCTCCTTTTTGTTACACACCCCCAGAAAGCAGCCTAACTCCTAGATACCTATTTATTGCTAGGTGAACAGGGCCATCAGGGCAAAAGAAACTCTGCCCATTTGTTTCCACCTACGGAACCTTAGGACTATGAACCCCGAGCGCTTTCCACTCAGCCATCAGGCCCACAAACCTAGGTGCTAGTCAGACCTAGGAGCATATAGGTACCCAAATGTTAGTCAGCTTCTTGTAGGGTTGCATCCTAGTAGGGTCAATAATTTTACCTTGTTTAGGGGGTGGGGGACCTCAATGTAAGCCTAACGTATATAGGGGGAATTTGGGGGATCTCTGACAAGCCGCCGGCTTCCTGCTCTTGTCGAGGCCACTAGTATTAGTGGCCCTCAAGTAAATTCAGGAAAATATGTTCACTGGCTACCTGTCCCCCCAACACAATGAATTATGATTATGAATTTTTTATACAAAAATCGGGAGGGAAATAAACACGGAAAAAGACTCGCTATCACTTCATGGCAATCTAAATATGGTGTTGAAATGGTCAAAAGATGGGCAGATGCAGTTTAATGCTTACAAAGGTAAGGTTTTGAGGCTAGGTAATGATGATAAGAGTTACAAGATACGAGCTAAATGGTGTTCAGATTATGAAGTCGGATTGCGATAGGGATCTGGGAGTTATGATTAGTAAGAATTTAAAACCAAAAAATCAATGCATAAATGTTTGTAATAAGGCAAATAGGACATTAGGATTTATTAATCGAAGCGTTTGTAACAAGACACCTGGTGTCTTGTTACTAACAAGACACCAGGCTATATCGGCTATATCTTGCTCTGGTTAGGCCCCCATTTAGATTACGCAGTTCAGTTTTGGTCGTTGCACTATAGAATGGATATAAATTCACTTGAATGTGTCCAGCGTAGGATGACAAAAATAATCCCCAAATTAGAAACCTGTCATATGAATTAAGATTAACAAAGCTTAAACTGCATTCACTGGAAAGGCGAAGAGTTAGGGGTGACATGGTGGGGGTTTGCGGGTGGGTGGAGGGATGAAGTAGGGGGGATGTTGGTGGGGTGTTGAGAGTATCAACACAGGATGGAGCGCAAAACGGTGGGTGTGAGCTGGAAGGGTTTGGATTTTGGAGGGACCTGGGTGGGTGCTGGTTCGGTGGCAGGGTTGTTGATTTGTGGAGTCGGTTGCCATGTGGCGTGGTGGAGGTAGCAGCTACACCCAATCTCTACTTTCTAAGAAACTCCTTAAGTATACAGTAACAAGATTAAGTTAGTTGGGGGTTAGAGAATATAAGGTTGTTAGGTGGGGTTAGGTAATGTAAGAGTAAGTTTAAAGGGGTTAGGTAAAGTAAGGGTAAGTTTAGAAGGGTTCGGTAAAGTAAGGGTAGTTCGGTGGGACTAGGTAAAGTAAGGGTAAGTTTGGTGGGGTTAGGTAAAGTAAGGGTAAGTTTGGTGGGGTTAGGTAAAGGAAGGGTAAGTTTGGTGGGGTTAGGTGAAGTAAGGGTAAGTTTGGTGGGGTTAGGTAAAGGAAGGATAAGTTTGGTGGGGTTAGGTAAAGGAAGGGTAAGTTTGGTGGGGTTAGGTGAAGTAAGGGTAAATTTAGTGAGGTTAGGTAAAGTAAGTTTGGTGGGGTTAGGTAAAGTACGGGTGAGTTTGGTGGGGTTATATAAAATAAGGGTGAGTTTGGTGGGGTTAGGTAAAGTAAGGGCAAGTTTAGAGGGGTTTAGGTAAAGTAAGTTTGGTGGGGTTAGGTAAAGTACGGGTGAGTTTGGTGGGGTTATATAAAATAAGGGTGAGTTTGGTGGGGTTAGGTAAAGTAAGGGCAAGTTTAGAGGGGTTTAGGTAAAGTAAGTTTGGTGGGGTTAGGTAAAGTACGGGTGAGTTTGGTGGGGTTAGGTAAAGTAAGGGCAAGTTTAGAGGGGTTTAGGTAAAGTAAGTTTGGTGGGGTTAGGTAAAGTAAGGGCAAGTTTGATGGCGAAAGGTGCTACAATTTTTTTTTGTTTTCAACATAAAATCGTAGAAGACAACATGATATACAGAGGTCCACAAGAATCTGGCCACAGAATGATACCTTCGTGGCCTGTTGAATGAAGATTCCCAACCTCACATGCATGACCCACGTATTACTGAGGCAAAAAATGTAATGAGGACGGGGACGACTGACCTGCTTCTCGTAGACATCACTGTCCCTTGGTTTGATGAGCTTGGGCCTCGCCCCTCCCTTAGGGATAGCTCCTGTGCTGCTCATCCTCACTGTTACATGCACAAGTTGTCAGATTGAAGGGTGTGAACAGCAGCTGTTGAGGTCCACGGGACCAGGCTCGCTAACGTTGACCAGACTACTCTACACTGAAGGCTGTCACCCCAGCTCCACAGTCCCAAGCTGCTCTTACGACGGCCCTCACACCACCATCCCATAAAAGTTAATTTCTGCTTCCTGCTAAACAAGCAGGTGTTCATAGCACTGTACTCCCGGCCGGACATCAGCACCGTAGCCTGCACGGGTCACTAACACGTACACAAAACATGGTGCAACAAGCATCAATCAAGGCCCAGGCGAGGGTGACTCGTCATATTAAACAGCTGGTGGTGTTGTGAGACGGCGCCTGCAGCAGGAGGATCACGTGGAACCCCCACACCCGCCCAGCACACAAGCAGGCCTCGCCGCCGTTCCTGGCTCCCGGATTATTCTCTGGATTCTCGCCCCCGGCCGGACCCTCGTCCCCGGCCCCTGGTCCCCAGCCGGACCCTCGTCCCCGGCCCCTGGTCCCTAGCCGGACCCTCGTCCCCGGCCGGGCCCTGGCCCTTTGCCGAACCCTCGTCCCCGGCCGGGCCCTGGCCCCCGGCCGGACCCTCGTCCCCGGCCGGGCCCTGGCCCCCAGCCGGACCCTCGTCCCCGGCCGGGCCCTGGCCCCCGGCCGGACCCTCGTCCCCGGCCGGACCCTGGCCCCCAGCCGGACCCTCGTCCCCGGCAGGGCCCTGGCCCCCAGCCGGACCCTCGTCCCCGGCCGGGCCCTGGCCCCCGGCCGGACCCTCGTCCCCGGCCGGACCCTGGCCCCCAGCCGGACCCTCGTCCCCGGCAGGGCCCTGGCCCCCAGCCGGACCCTCGTCCCCGGCAGGGCCCTGGCCCCCTGCCGGACCCTCGTCCCCGGCAGGGCCCTGGCCCCCAGCCGGGTCCTCGCCCCAAGCAGGGGGGACAAGGGCCCAAGCTGACCTGGGCCCATATTGACCCATATTTATTATATTTGTTACTGCACTAATTTTGTACTGGTTATTCATGCCCGTGCCACTTTTTGGGTGGCTTTATTTATTTATTTATTTATTTATTTATTTATTTATTTATTTATATACAAGAAGGTACATTGGGTTTGTGAGGATACATAGCATGGTGTTGACATTCTTGTAAAGCCACTAGTACGTGCAGCGTTTCGGGCAGGTCCTTAATCTAACATAATTTTAAGTAAGGTAAATTGTAGCAAAATTTATAAAGTGATAACAGGTACATTGCAAAAAAAAAAATGAGATGAGAGAGATTAGTAGGTATATTAAAGCACATCTGTAATCTTTATCAATCAATCACTTGTAACGTACGATTATGTTACTTTGTTGGGTAGATTAGATACACAGTGTTTAGTGAGTTTTCATATTTATTTAGTAGTCTTGATTACAGTAGTCGGTTGTTGGCAGTGGTAGACGCTGAGGCGGAGCTTGGAGCAGAGCTGAGTGAGGCCGGAGTCGCAGAGCTCTATGCGGGGGAGCGTGGCGGCTCGATGGGGAATCGCGAGTGTCTAAACTCGATGGGAGCGAGAGCGTTGTAGGTCGATGCGGTTGTAGTCTGCTACCTGCTCTGTGTTGAAGCTGTAGTTGTTGTTGTTGTTTAAGATTCGCTACCTAGAACAAAAAGTTCCAAGCAGCACGGGCTATGGCGAGCCCGTAGTGTTTTGGAGTCGATTAGAACTGCATACGCTGAGTGCTACATTCTTGAGGTTTGAAGAGATGTGGTTAGTCCTAAGTGTCTGTATTGTAGTTCACTGAATCACTGTGGAAATTGTACTGTCGGCTATTCGATTGATTGATGAAAATTAAGCCACCCAAAAGGTGGCACGGGCATGAATAGCCCGTTAGTGGTGGCTCTTTTGAGCCATTACCAGTATCAAGAGCTGATACTGGAGATCTGCGGAGGTGCAACTGCACCCTGCGTGACGGGAGATGTCTCCCGGTCGGCTATTCACTTCAAGCTTGCTTATTTATTTATTTATTTATTTATTTATTTATTTATTTATTTATTTTATTTATTTATTTATTTATTTATATACAAGAAGCAAAGTGAAATTGACACCAGTAATTCCATCTATCATCATACTATCATGTAAGAGGAGCCACACATCTATGGATCATCCAATAAAACCAGCAGACTTCTAGATGTTACTACTGCTCGGCTTAGACTTGGTTACAAGTATCTCTGGGAATTCTCATTATCTGCAGCCCATTATGTGCCTCTGTAACCCTTTCCACTACCGCCCACAAGATGGGTATGGGGTGCATCATAAATGAACTAAACTAAAACTGAGAATACATAGCATAGTATTTACAAGATTGTAAAGCCACTAGTACGCGCAGCGTTTTGGGCAAGTCCTTAATCTAACAGATAATTTTAAGTAGGTAAATTCTAGCAGAATTAATAAAATGATAACAAATACATTGCAAGAAAAAAAATGAGATGAGAGAGATTAGTAAGTATATTAAAGCACATTGGTATATTGAAGCTCTGATTGATTACATTGACAGCTTGATTGGTAATTTAAACAAGATTAATAGACACCATACAGCAGATTGACAGCACATATAAGAAGACAGCAATGATCGCAATGGTAAAGATGTTCGGATACATAAAGATTGGGAGATTGGGTAGCAATAGATACAGTGCAATTTTAAAGTAAAAGGTTAAAAACTAAGAAGATGAAATTAGGTACTTTTTAGTATTGTTTTTGAATGACGCAAAAGTTGGACAGCTTTTCAATTCATTAGGGAGTGAGTTCCATAGATTGGGTCCCTTTATCTGCATAGAGTGTTTACACAGATTAAGTTTGACTCTGGGGATATCAAAGAGATATTTATTTCTGGTGTGGTGATAATGGGTCCAATTACATCTGTCCAAGGAGAGTTTCAGAGCAGGATTTGCATTTAAGAACAGGGTTTTGTAAATGTAGTTGACACAAGAGAATTTGTGGAGTGAGATTATGTTTAGCATGTTTAGGGAGTTAAACAAGGGGGGCTGAGTGTTGTCTGATTGATTGATGAAGATTAAGCCACCCAAAAAGTGGCACGGGCATGAATAGCCAGTAAGTGGTGGCCCTTTTGAGCCATTACCAGTATCAATAGATGATACTGGAGATCTGTGGAGGTGCGACTGCACCCTGCGTGACGGGAGATGTCTCCCGTGGAGTGTCCCCAAGAGCATAGGACATGTTCATTATGGAAGCAGAATATATAAATATTTAGGTCTTGTTGCAAGCACACTTTTGCTTTTTAATGTCGATAAATGCAAGAACTTGCATGTGGGGCATATCAATCCACGTCACAACTCCCAAATTTACAGGACTGCCTTAGAACAGATAGATGAAAAAAAGGACCTTGGAGTCAGAATCCATAATTCACTAAAAGATGCACAAGTGGGAGCGGCAGTAAAAAAACTAAACAAATCCTGGGAATAATCAAGTGTGCCTTTACCTTTAAGGAAAACAAGGTAGTCATTCAATTGTATAAGTCTCTGGTGAGCCCCAATTTGGATTATTGCATCCAAGCATGGGAGACCTCATCTTCAGAAGAACGTAGCAGCTCTGGAGAAGGTGTAACACCGGGCAACAAAAATCATCCCAGAGCTTATAGTCATCTCTCGTATCAGGAACGCTTGAGGGACACAGGGCTAACAACACTCCAAACCAGGCATGACGGGGCGGATCTCATCGAAACCTTTAAAATACTGAACAATTATCATTTTAATAATTCTGCTTGAATTTACCTACTTAAAATTTTCTACAATACAATACAACACAATACAATTTTATTTAGGTAAGGTACATACATACAATAAATATTTACAATAACATACAATAAATATATATAAGATTATTTATATTAATCTGTTAGATTAAGGACCTGCCCGAAACGCTGCGCGTACTAGTGGCTTTACAAGAGTGTAAATACCATGCTATGTATCCTCACAAACCCAATGTACCTTTCCTGGTTGATACCTGGTTGATGGGGTTCTGGGAGTTCTTCTACTCCCCAACCACAGCCGAGGCCAGGCTTGACTTGTGAGAGTTTGGTCCACCAGGCTGTTGCTTGGAGCGGCCCGCAGGCCCGCTAATTAAATTTAAATTAAATTAAATTAAAAATTAAATTTGCGAGAACGGGCAGCCCGTTCTCGCAAATTCGTAAAGTCAATATTGACTTATTAACTACGTGCATAGGTGATATACTAAACATAATAGATACCCTTAAAAAGATTCATAGAAAACACCGACCTTACCTAACCTTGTTAGTATCTTAAGATAAGCATCTTATTGCTTCGTAATTACAATTATTACTTAATCTATATCTATTATAGGTTAGGTAATAATTGTAATTACGAAGCAATAAGATGCTTATCTTAAGATACTAACAAGGTTAGGTAAGGTCGGTGTTTTCTATGAATCTTTTTAAGGGTATCTATTATGTTAAGTATGTCACCTATGCACATATTTAATAAGTCAATATTGACTTATTAAATTTGGCCCACATACCCACCACAGCCCGGTTGGTCCGGCACTCCTTGAAGGAAACAATCTAGTTTCCTCTTGAAGATGTCCACGGTTGTTTCTGTAATATTTTTGATGCTCGCTGATAGGACGTTGAACAACCGTGGACCTCTGATGTTCATACAGTGTTCTCTGATTGTGCCTATGGCACCTCTGCTCTTCACTGGTTCTATTCTGCATTTTCTTCCATATCGTTCACTCCAGTATGTTGTTATTTTACTGTGTAGATTTGGGACCTGTCCCTCCAGTATTTTCCATGTGTATATTATTTGGTATCTCTCTCGTCTCCTTTCTAGTGAGTACATTTGGAGAGCTTTGAGACGATCCCAATAATTTAGGTGCTTTATCTCGTCTATGCGTGCCGTATATGTTCTCTGTATTCCCTCTATTTCAGCAATCTCTCCTGCTCTGAAGGGATGAGTGAGTACTGAGCAGTACTCAAGACGGGACAACATAAGTGATTTGAAGGGTACAACCATTGTGGTGGGATCCCTGGACTTGAAGGTTCTCGTAATCCATCCTATCATTTTTCTGGCTGACGCAATACTTGCTTGGTTATGCTCCCTAAACGTTAGGTCGTCAGACATTATTATTCCCAAATCCTTGACATGCTGTTTTCCTACTATGGGCAGATTCGATTGTGTTTTGTACCCTGTATTATGTTTAAGATCCTCATTTTTGCCGTACCTGAGTACCTGGAATTTATCACCATTAAACATCATGTTATTTTCTGCTGCCCAATCGAAAACTTTGTTAATATCTGTTTGTAGTTTATCAATGTCTTCAGCAGAGGTAATTTTCATGCTGATTTTTGTATCATCTGCAAAGGATGACACGAAGCTGTGACTTGTGTTTTTTGTCTATATCTGATATGAGAATAAGGAACAGCAGTGGTGCAAGGACTGTACCTTGAGGTACAGAGCTTTTTACTGCGCTCGGACTCGATTTTACTTGATTGACTGTTACTCTTTGTGTTCTGTTCGACAGGAAATTGAGTATCCCGCGTCCTACTTTACCAGTTATACCCATTGACCTCATTTTGTGTGCAATCACTCCATGGTCACATTTGTCGAATGCCTTTGCAAAATCTGTGTATACGACATCTGCATTATGTTTTTCCTCTAATGCCTCAGTGATTTTGTCATAGTGGTCAAGTAGCTGTGAGAGGCATGATCTTCCCGCTCTAAATCCATGTTGGCCTGGGTTGTGGAGGTCATTGGTTTCCATGAATCTAGTGACCTGACTCCTGATCACTCTCTCAAATACTTTTATTATGTGGGACGTTAGTGCAACTGGTCTATAATTCTTTGCCAATGCTTTGGTCCCTCCCTTGTGTAGAGGGGCTATGTCTGCTACTTTAAGCGCATCTGGTATCTCCCCCGTGTCCAAGCTCTCCCTCCACACTATACTGAGTGCCTGTGCTACCGGCACTTTGCATTTCTTTATAAATATTGAATTCCACGAGTCTGGACCCGGGGC